TGAAAAAGAATTTATTTGCTGCTGCATCAGAAGAAGATAGGGAAGTAGACTTGCACCTGGGGAAAAGAGAGGCTTTTTTTTTTTTTTTTAAATCCAATTTAGATTCTGTGCTGCTTCCCTCCTTTTCCATGAGCTTACCCATGCAGGGCTCAAAGAAAGCAGAGTCTGGCCCCAAGGGAGTTCAGATACAGCAGACTGATCTACCAGCAGGCTACAATATGTTCCCAGAAGGTGCAATGTAATTCTGAGGCCAAGGAACAGCCTATTAGCTCTGCATGCTATTAATTTTCATGAACAGTTCAATCCAATGCTCACAGAAGCTGTTGGGCATCTTTCCATTTTGTCTAGCAGGGCCGGGATTGGGGCTTATTTATCTTTTCATTCTATACCTTATCTTTAATTGTGAAGCAGTCCTAGCAGTTTAGTGCAGCTCTGCACATTTCAAGCCCTTCACTAGGCTCTGTGCCCAGCAGCACATGAGATGCTGTCTACAGGTCAGAGTGAAGGCATGTCACAGTCAAAGCCACTCATGAAGAATTAAACTTCAGGCTTGTCTGACTAAACTTCTCAATTCAACAAAACTCCCCAGTTTTGCCAGGCTGAAAAAGCAACCCTGCAGGTTCTTGAGTCATGTGCCAAAACGCCTGCTTCATCCTCTCTGGAACTGGAAATGATTACTAATAGGTATTCTTGCTGAAATGATTTAACATAATGTGCTGAATGAGATCACTAAGTCCAAATATCTTTCTCTAAGTGATTCTCTTACTGTGTGCCTGAATGCTAGAGGGAAAGGACAGCATGAACTGAATTCTTTTGCAGGCTTTTGCATTTAACAAAACCTCCAAGTTACCACAGAATTCACATTAGGAAGTTTCACCCAGATTCATTACAAGAGGCCCAATGAAGCACATCTGCCTGGCAGGCAGCAGGGGATGGGGAACGAGGGTTCAGGTCAGCCTCTCTTAATCAAACTTTTCCCTTTTAGAGCATTTAGAGTCTAGGTTGGGAAATAAAGATGGGCAAGAAAAACAGGTAGGCATGAAACAAAGCTCGTGAGAAAACAGCACTCTTTGCCTTGAAAGCATAGCCCTGGATGTGTTATTGCTGTTGTAGGCATTACCTACATTACAGCAGGCTGCAACCACCAAGAGAAACATGGGCTTTGGGAAGGAACATGGCCTGGCACCACAAAATGCAGTGCTACATAGCAGGGCACTCAGTGTTCTGCTGAGAGGCTGGGCTGCTCTCACCCATCCAACTCTGTCAGCCTCCGAATTAACTTATTGAGGTCAGTACTCATAACAGCAGTATTGCAGACTTGATTCACTCTTCCTCTCTGAGAAGGCCCAATACTCTCTGCCCAGTATGGCTATTACCTGCCAACCTAAAGGATGATGAATGTTATTTATATTGCAGTAATGGCTAACCACTCCATGGAGACTGGGGACAGGCTGTGCTATGGACTTTTCAAACACGCACGGAATGGGAACAGCCCACAGATGGCTGAGTGTATTAAAGTGCTGAAACACTTCAGGGTAATGTTCTTGAATGCTTTGGACACGGTGACCCCCAGCAGCTCCGCAGCACTTGTGCTGACTGCTACAACACAGGGTGCTGTCCTACAGTAAAGATATTCATAAATAACATGCTTATCAGTTATTGTGACGTGCCCTTCCAAAAGCAAAAAATCCCTCATTTTCTTAAAACATGCAACTCCTTGATGAGAAGACTTTTAAATTCTTCAATTGATAAATTAAAAAAAAATTATATTTCAAATGAAACAAAAGAGAGGAAAAAGAGATTCTGATTAAGTTTTCCTAATATTTAGCCGTCAGTTTTGTTATATAAGAAAAATTTATAAATAAGGATTACTCAAGATGTAGATGAGAAAAGTGATCCAACAAGAAAATATGAAGCACCTGAACCTATGAAACAAAATATCAGACCAATTTAACTTGGACTTGTGCACTTGCAGGATTAGCTTCACATAATTGCAAAAAAAAAAAAAAAAAAAAAAGACCTGAAAAACCATGCCTTTAACTTTTCGTTATGGTGAGCCCAGAGGGTGGATAGCTAACACTCCCTAGGAAATAGCTTCCCAAGGAATAGCCCTGCAAAGACGGCAAGGAAATAAATTAAAAATATTTGATGTGGTCTTTTTTACTGTTAGTTGCTCTCTTGGTGTATTAGGAAAATCATCTGGTGACTTCTTTCATATGCATCAATGTATTGAGATCTAAAAGACTAAGTGATGTATTCCAAGAACTGTGTCAGAGAAGGTGTCATTGAACAGGTTTAGGACCCCTTTCAATTCTTTTCCAATTAATGTCCCAGTATTGAAGATCTAAAAATATATTCAGAAACTAGTCGGATGGCATTTGTGTCCATCAGCAGCCTTATCACAAACCAAGTGCTAAAGATATACCTTACCTTTAAGAATACCCTTTACACATTACAGTTCTAGAAGAGGCTGTCTTGGAGCTTTATCGTGAAAAGCCTGAAGATACCAGAGCCCAGTAAACACTTTACTAAGCAGGGATCAACCACACAGTTTCTTTTTGTCTTTTCAGTCAGCAGAATGGTCACTCTCAGTCCAAAATGGGACAAGTAAATCACATGGCAAGAGCCTGTGAGTATTTTCTAGCTGTCTCAACTGTAGAAGTCTCCTAAGAGGACTGATGTCTCAACATCTGGGCATTCTTCTTCCTGTCAAACACTACTGAGCAATGGGATTTGTCAACAATCTGCTCAGCATATACAGATGACAACTGCAGAGTTTGGAGAGCTCAAGGGCATTTGTAGATAGATAGGGAATTGAGATAGATGTGTTGAACTAGGACAGAGACCCAGAATCTGTGAAAATTATACACAATTGCAGTACAATTTCTACCTGCAGTAATTAAACCAGACACCATGACATGCAAAATTCAGGCCAGGTGTGCTTTGCAATTACAAATATTGTTTCAGAGATGCTAACAGCCTCAATGCCACACAATATGAAGAATAGGAAAGATGTCTGCTGCCTAAACCACAACTTTGTCTATCACTAAAATATTCAGAATGAAAGCTTCATTTACAAACAGGTAAATGAACAGATTGTCCTAAGCACAAATTTCATGGATGATGGATTTAAAGGTCTTTCCTGCACCTATATCTCACCTAATGGTATTCTACTGCTTATAGATTTTCAGTCTGTTGCTCCACCATGACCTACAAAAACTTCCTCAACATTTTAAGAAGTCTTGACTAAGAGATGTATCTTGGTACAACACAAATGAATCATATAAAAAAACTTCTGCCTTACTGCAATTATCTCCAAATAATTTCTCAGCTATATTTTCAATAATCTGTCCATTTTTTATATTTTAATACAGATTTATTCACCACCCTTACGACAGCATACTGCTTAAGACCTTCTACCCTCCCAGTCCAGTGAGCGACAGAATTTGGCATCAAGTTTCTACAGCATCAAATGCTGTAGGTTTTTTTCCTGATAACCTAACTGTACAGTGAAATCTGTGGTCAGATGCAGTCTTTACAAAAGCATATGTTCACTCCTTGGTATTCAAGAGTAGCTGTTTAGACTCTGAGGCTATGTTGTTCCACTGAAAGATATATTATCACATCTGTGTCTAAATATTTTTGCTTCCCATGTCTGCTACAAGTAACATCCACAATTGCTACAGCTGAAAATGACAAGATAAAAATAATTTCCACCAATTTGTCATGCCTTTTGCATTTAAAAACACTAAATGTATAGCCTATTTCATTAACATTTTTGCTTTTTTGTATTTACATGTAATGAGAAATAAGCACGTTAAAAATAATAAAATGGCATTGGAAAAATGACAAAAATGGAAACAGAATTTGTGGGTTGGTGCAGAATTGAAAACCACTTAACACATTTAAAAAGAAAAAAACATTAACTTCCAAGTTGCCTCCCTTTAATGCTATTAAGTACAGCACTGCATAGGATGGCCATCACGTCCTGACATTTGATCTGCTTGCTCAGCAGTCTCATTATGAGGTTATGTTAGAAGGGTTCTCAATCTCTGTCTTTCATGTCAAAAGTGAACATGTTTTCACCACCTTTGAATCAAGTCAGGGAATCACAGAATCACTAAGGTCAGAAAAGACCACTGAGATCACCAAGTCCAACCATCATCCCACCCCCACCGTGCCCACTGCCCACGTCCCTCTGTGCCACATCTCCACATTACTTGAACACCCCCATGGACAGTGACTGCATCACCTCCCTGGGCAGCCTCTGCCAGTGCCTCATCACTCTTTCCGATAAGAACTTGCTTTCCTAATATCCAACCTCAACATCCCCTGAAGTCATTATAAAACTTCAAAATATACATATTTTTTGAGAGTGGCGAGTTGTCATCATGGATATATCACAAAGGAAACAATACAGAAGCATAAAATGTCATTAATTCTTCTTCAAGCATATGGTATTGCAAAAGCACTGAACATGTTTACATTAATTACTTTTAAAAAGAAAAGGAGATGTCACATTTGAGACGGAGGATCCTACCAAGCTCACTGAGAACCACATAAATCTAACAATAGTGAGATTTTTTTCATCAACTCATTGTGACAGCTGTCAAGCTGGGAAGAATCTTTTATTAATACCAAAACAATTGTGCACTTAAACAAAAGCCAGTAGTTCAGTCACAGCTTATGTCCCCAACTCTGTCATACAATCTGCACATATGCAGATATTACATCTATAAGCAAAGTTGCTCTTCAAATTTTATTTTTGGGGCTGCAGTACGATGTGCCCAGAGCCTGGGCAGAATCATGCAGAAAACAGGCCAGAAGGCAAACTGTGAGTCTTCAGTACTGGGCTTGGTGTTCAGCACAGGCTTTCTGCAACCAATAAAGATGCAGAGAGCCTGTTAAATAATTCCTCTAAAAGCAAGGCTTGTATCTCTGATGTGTGAGCTTCTAACTGTGAAAACCACTTTAAACAAGTGATAGAAAACAGCCCTTACCTCCTTGTAGACATCATCGTTCCTGCTGAAGTCTCCTGACCTCCTTGGAAGGACATGGACATGAACATGCTAGAAGTGTGAAACCAAATAATGGTTATTGCCAAGATCGTGACTTTCTTTTCCAGATTATCAGCATTATCCTCCACTCGTACCAGTAACCGAATAGAAGTCCACAGAATTCCACATGTTCCATAAAAGCACCTTAACCCTTCAGAGATCATAAAAGATGTTCAGGACAGTGGATGAAGGAACCACTAGTATATTACAGAGACCATGCAGGCAGAATGGCTATCAGAAGACACATTCTGGGCTGTACAGCACTTCCATTACAACATCTTTTGCAAGATCAGAAAGAGCTTAATATTTTGCTTTTCCTCCCAGGAAACTGTAGCCCAAACATAACATATCCAGTGGTGCACCGTGTGGCCCCAAACCTGCAGGGCAAGAGAACTAAAGGTCCAGATTTACAGAGCCTGAAGCATAAGCATCACTCTCCTGATGGCAAAGCCATTGCTCAGTGTAGCAGCGCTAAGGGAGATAAGTGGCACAGGTAGCTTTGCTTTCCAGCATGGGGGTTATGTAAGGGACAACATATTTTCTCACAAATGCTGATGAGATATGGGGAAGAGGAACAAAAATAACAACAAGCAAGCAAACATGTCACTTTGATGTTCGTTACTACTACTATCTTTTTTTCTTAAGAGATTACAGACCTCTTCATGCCAGACAGGAATTACACAATTCAAGATTTTTTTGTGACTCAAAATCTACTATGATTTTAAAAGAATCCCTGAAAAATCAAAGAAATGCTGATCTGCTGCTCTGCAGTGACTTCAGCTACAAAACTGTAAATATTTTTTTTATCTTTTCCCCTTCTATTCTCTGTATACACAATAAACTGAATTTAGATAGCTTGCATCTGATTCAACTTGGTGAGTTGGAATCAATCGAAATCCATGAATCCTGCTAAAACGTTCTCAAATTACAGCTCAAGTCTAATAAAGACAAAAAAAAACCTTGACCAAAAAACTTAGTCTATTTGTAAAAAAAAATCTAAACACACCTATATCATGCTACCTTCATCTACAAGAACATTTGTTCAGTGAATAAAATGAAATCACAAGGATGTTTCACTTAATGAAATAGTCTGAATACCACTTGTTTTTCTTAGCTTATCCTAAAGAAACCAAATATGCTACTCCTTAAACCTACCATTATCCACAGCTTTCAGCACATGCAGCCTAGAGATGAGGATGCTTCTTGAGGGTTAAAAACTGTTTTTGAGTAATACATCAAATGATAGTGTTCTGATAGTGTATTATACTAATATATCATGAGAGCGATAGTGTTCTTGTGATGTATTAGTGCAATGTATCATCTGAACATCACTGCTCCTCATGACAAATGACTCAAAATCACAAGGTAAGTTTAAAGATGGTCTTCGAAGCCCCAGGCTTCAAATTTGGCTTTAGGACAAAGAGAAACTTCCAAGAAAAACAGTAGTGAGGATTATGGTTTGTACCAACAATGTGAAATTTCACCAGCACGCCCCACCTAAATTTAAACAGATTTAGATTTAAAATTTATGTATAAAACTACAGAATTATCAGGTTTTTTTCCTCTTCTTGTACAAGGATTTGATACCATGGCTACAAATACTACTTCTCAGGATTTTCTCTTGATATATATGGAGACAGGCTAATGTCAGATATCAATAACTATTATGTTCCAAAACTTCCATGCATTTAGAGTCATTTTTACCTTTGTGGCAAAATGTTTCAGGGTACACACAGGAAAAGCAAACAGGATGTGGCTCAAAGCTTAGTGCAGAGATGCTGTACTGCAGATGCACAGAGCAGCACAGCAGGTAACAAATGAGCCTAATGTGAGCTTCTGCCCCAAATGGGCTCATGTGATCAGCATGAAAAAAGGAGAAGAGAAAGCGTTTATGAGAGCATATGGGCCACTTGGCATCACTGGGGACATTCTCAGGGTTTGTCACCTTTACTACACGCATTATGTTCTTACACAACACTCAGCTGCTCAGCAAAATCTGTCAACTGTATCAGAAAACAAATTCCAGGTCTCAGGTAACTACAATCAGTTATCAGAGAGCAAATTTCTCTGGACATTGTAATTATTTTTCTTAATATTGTTCATGGGATATACACAAATCTGAATTCTTCCTATCATTTATATAATAGAAAAACACCATGAATAGCAATTATGCCTCAAGGAGATTCCCTCTCCTCAGCTTTAGGAGAAGAAAGAAGAACAGAGCAGAGCAATGGTTCCCATGTGGGAACCACTCGTTTGCCATTCAGCTGGTGGCTTCCCCAGCTTGGGGTGCTGATATTGTTCTTTAATTGATCATTTTGCTCTTCACTGTTATTTTTTACTGCTGAAGCCAGACAAAACAAAAACCTGCAAGTCCAAAAGAGACATTTGCAGTTGACTGAAATGTGTCAGTAGATACAAACTAAACATTTGGCTGTATATATTTCGTTTAACTGAACAAACAGATTTAGGCAAATCTTCACTCAAAACACTATTTGGAGAAGAAAAATCCAAACACTGTCTATATAAAATGTCAAAATAAAGCATTTCAGCTCTTCCCTGTTATTGCAGATACCCTCATGACTGGTGAGCAGCATTCCAGCAGGCTGTATTCAGTCACTGTTGATTGTACTCCTTTTCTCTCTCCTAGGAACTGCTTTCCCCACATTTTGCATTGTTTTGATTAATAAGCAAGAAAAGTGACACACAACAACCAAAACATTCACATTAACAGACCAATCAATATGTGTAAAAAACATGCAGACACGTGTTTGCATTGCCTAACACGTTAGCTGCCATTCCCTCCTCTTGTCAGACACTGATGGAGAAAGCTGTGCACCACTACAGGAGACAGGCATACTGGATGTCACAACACAGGGACATGGCATGATGCACCCAGGTGGTACATCAGGCACACGTATTTTGACATTGGGTGGTCAAATACACCTGAGTCCCACTGGCTGCTTCTAATACCTAGGAAGAAGAGCTTATGGGAGAAGAACTTTCAAGATCTTTACACCCAGACTGGACAGAGAATTAGAAGAAGTAATTAGAGGAGCAAATCTGCAGTGCAAAGAGGTGCTCTCGAGCCAGAGATCCCCACATTCCCAGTGAGGCAGGGGGAGCTTGAGGCCGCTGCTCCCAACACTGCTGAAATCTAGCAGCAACACAAGCATTGGTGGGACTTCACATCTAAAGTTGATTTCCAATGAGTCAGAGTTGCAAAACACTCATAGAAATCTTGACAAAAAAAATATCTCTGCAGGCTGTTTTGTTGGAAAAAAAGACAAACAAACTCCACACATTCACATCATGTGAGTTTTGCTTCAGCACTCAAGGCCATAGAGAAAGCAATGTTCTTAGTTATGGCTGTTTTTATACACTGAATTATGGTCGAATAATCAATGTGTCACCACTGTGCTAGATGTAAAGCAAAAATATCAGGCAAAGATAGACAATGAAAGATTTCCTGAGTAGACCAGAATGGTGAAGATCAGATGACCATGCCACACACCACAGGGGAGAACATGGATATCACCTGCAATAATTCATGAATATTATGTTGTGTTCATTCAGCTGCCGTGCTGATTAGTGAAGCAACAAAGCTCTGCTTCCAACAGAAAGCAAGATAGCTTTCATAAGAGCTCCCCAGCACTCACCCTGGGACTATTAGCAATACATGTTGCTATAGGATGAATGCATAAAGTCTGGTGGTGGATCACATAATGCTGAGCACAGGGGGGTGCCAAAATGCTGGCAAAAGGACTGACTTCCCTCAGCTGCAAAGGCAGCACATGGCTGAGCTGTGTCTTCAAGCAGCAAAACCAGATGCCTTTCATCAGCTCGAGCCATTCCCTTGTCACTTTTTGGTTTTCATAACAGAGAAAACATGTGGGTTTCCGTAGTTCTGTGGTAAAGCAACATCAGGAAAGGCAGTAATGTGGGGCACAGGGGAGATCAGAAAGAGTGAGCCCCCTTGCACAAGCAGGAGGAAGGGCAGGAAGGACACCAGTGATGGCAGGCTGCAACATGGGCTGGCCACAGAAATCCCCCCCTGCCCCCCAGTCAGCTGGTTCACAGGGAAAAAGTACTGAGGCATACAGATAACACCTTATTTGCTGCAGAAAGTCCCTTGTCCGTTGCAGAGACATGGGCTTCATACAGGAGGCTGTGATAATGCTTCTTCTAAACTACCAGATTAACTGTAGAAATTCCAAACTAATAACCATTCTCCAAGTAAGGCTGTCAGTGGGTGATAAAGAAAATCAACCATAATACTGAGATAGCCACATGAAAAATAGGGCAATTTTGTCCTTTCTGTAAACTGGGCTTCTATGGAGCCCTTGTTTTCTATTCTTGATTAACTGCTCAATTATCCCTGTTAGAAAATTATTCTGCAGAAAGCCCTGCCTGTATATCCACAGCTCATTAACAGAAAGCACTCCCTCTGCTGTCTGCAAAAATATATCACATCACCCAGATGCTAGCAGACTTGGTACAATTGCTTTTTCTTTGTTTTGTAAGCCAATTTCTATGGTCCTTGACTTGCAGACCCTGGAAAGGACATCTTCATGGTGAAGCAACTTTTGTTCAGTGAATATTTTTGAGTTCTTGATATTTTTCCTATTCCCAAGTTGGTTGGGATGGAAAAACATATGGAAAAAGAGTTCTACTCAACGCTTTTAAAAAATTAAATACAAAGCAGTTTGTATCAAAATATTCAGTTTTCACAGCCTTCAATATTATTGCCAGCATAAATTCTTCCTGCATATTCAGAAGTTATAAGTTACATAACGCAAGACCACTTTGAAAGACCTGTTATAAAAAAATCAAAAGATAACAGGAAACTACTTGAAACACTTCCCTACAACAATGCCCAGTTCTTAGGAATTGTCATCTTCCTTTACTGCAGCAGGCTGCACACAAGATGCACACATGTGCTGCCTTCTACCAGAACAGCAGCTAAAGCATTCTGGTGGTAAGGGTTGCTATAAACCCAAGAACACTGCACA